AGTCTGTGCACAGTATGCACACGTATCTGGAACATCCAGGCGTGTCCGAGCACTGCCACAGTACCGCTCAGCAGCAGTGGCATGCTGAAGCGGCAGCGCCAAGCCAAGTTCATCAGGAAGATGAACAGGCTCTTGCGACCGGCCGTCATTTTCCGACTGCAAAATGTATCTAGTAGTTACTATAACTACGATTTTAGTCGAATAAGCATCGATTTTACACCTATTAAAGCCGTTAGTTATTTAAATTATCATTATTTTTAATTGTGATTTTAATATTTACAATTAATACTAATTGTACACAATATAAAAAAGAAACTATAATATAGAAAAACTAACACTAAACAATTTAAATTGTCAAAAACTCCTGCTCCCCGTGGTATAGTGCCAAGAACGCTGGCTGCGTTTCCTCGCTGAATAGCTATACTTAGCCTTTGAGCGAGGAAAGAACCAGCCCTCTTATCACCAGCAGCGACGACCAGCCGTGGATACAGTTCCTTTAGGAACTTCACAGCACGCGGACCCCACGGGCCGATAGTCTCTACAGTAATGACACAAATATGTAGTCATTTCTCAAAGACTCATATTTGCGCCATTTACTAAATTTGTGTGTGATTAATTTTAAGTGTGTAATTTTATTTTATACTGGCAACCCGGCCCGGCTTCGCCTGATTAGGTTAGCTATAAAACCATTTATTTTATCAATTTATCCTCTTTTACTTTGATTCCATGTTTTTCGAATAATATATTGCATAATGTATATCAATAATGTCATTGCACTCTACCTGTTGGTGAAGCTTCATTACAAAGATTAAATAGGACAGACAAAAATTTTAAAATGGTTATTCACGTGTTAAAATACAAAAAGACCTTATGCTCAATAATATAAAGCAGTTATTTCGATGTTACAGACACTTCAATTGTAATTATATATATAAGTGTGATAATTAAATATTTATTTAGATAAATTTTGCACTATAATTAATATGTATATTATTTAATTCTATTTATTGTACATATTCATTTTTATAAGAATAACGGGAACCAAAACAGCACGCAGTCCTCCTGAGGGTAAGTTGATGTCGAAACCCATAGACATCTACATCAATCCTCGATTAAAAATCAAAATTAAGATACGTTGGCACCTCTGATGACTAAGATGGAATGCCCAGTTTCCAGTAAAAAGGGTCTCCGGATCTCTACACTCACCATACGAAACACAGCAGCATTAAGCTGCAATTTCACGCTGGTATTTTGTGAGAGCGTGGTCCTTCCCCGGTCGAGACACAACCATAATAAAGCTGCAGTGTGGCTGGCAGAGCCACACTGCTTTTACTACACTTTTTTTTTTATTTAGGAAATAAAGGCTTGAATAAGAATAATACTTTAAATAATATAATTTTAAATATATAGTTGACTCTGACAATTATTTAGCATTAGTTTAAGTTAAAATAATCAAAGCTAAATTTCCGTCACATTTGCAACATAAGGTACTGTTCCCAAATCATTATTTTGTTTTTTAAAACTTTTGTATCTGAATGAATCTGATTATGTTCAAACAAAATCTTGAGCGACTTCGCCTCTCTATCACCCTAGAAGAGCAACAATAACCTTGAACCTATCTTGCCTAACCTCTATTAAAATCACAGTTACAAAGTAGTTATACAATTTATTATCTCACTAAAACGTTATAATAACATCTTGCACAGATAAGAGATTCAAATGGGTTCGCGTTTGCCACACGTTCTATTTTATTCTTAAAATCCTCAGAACAGATTTTGCTGTATTCTGAATTTAAATTTTATGTTTGCTTTAAATCTGTTTCGATCGGAAATTTTACCAACATTTGATCTGTTTATTATCTGTGTGTTAAATTTAATATACTAAGATCCACGTAATAAAATCATGTGTCTTACCTAGTTTAAATAGCACCTCCCGTCCTCCCTCAATGGCGTACACTATCTTCATCAGTGACGGGGGCACATCATACGTGGATCTTAAGGTTATTAGTTTTTTTACATCTTTAACATAATGCGGTCTTAAAAAGCATTGCCTAAGGATCTCTACACGCTTTTAATAACCTGCACTACATAACTTAACATAACTTGAAAATTAAATTTGTTTTGTGTTCCAGTTGATTATTAAACACTAAGTGCTAACGCACTTCTGAATCAGGGATCAAAAGGTTTCCAAAATAGAAAATAAAGCACAGATCCACCTGAACCGTAATGGAAAACAAAACTTTAACAAGTAAATGGTACATTTAACAGTGAAATTGGTTTAAACTTTTATTTAAATATTTCGGGACAGTGAATGTGACAAAAAAATATAGCAGTTCAAATACACTGCAATTAATTACATCCTTCCCTTGATTATTTAAAATTATTAAAGAAATCCCTCTTTAACCTGTGTGTTCCTGTAGTGTCATTATAAGCATGAACTGCATTTTATTTATTCTACATTTAAATTGGTGTCTTCATTTAGTAGTCCCTATTATTATTATTTTTAATAATTATTCATTAATTTAATATATCCTATCAAAAATCCACTTCTGCATATAAGGGAGGTTTTTAAATAGGCATTGGCATTAGTAATTTTTAGACTCCAACTTTTGAAGAACAAACATATCAGTTGTTTGCTTTTAACTTAATACAGACAGCAGTACAATAATTGGATGCCCACAGACATCTACATCTATCCAGTATTAATAATCAAAATACAGAGGGTGTTGCCACCCCTGCGGACTAAGATAGAATGTCTCATTTCCAGTAAAGAGTCTCCAGTTCTCTAAGCTATTAGTTATTTGAAGTTTCTATAGTCTCTTCCTACCCCTCTGGGTGACCGGCGTGTTGTTTTTTTTTTATAGGATAGGGTGAGAAACAAGCACACAATCCACTTGATGGTAAGTAGTTGTTGCGGCCCACAGACATCTACATCTATCCTCGATTATGAATCAAAATGCAGATGCTTTGTCGCCCATGAGCACTAAGATGGAATGCCTCATTTCCAGTAAAAAGGGTCTCAGGTCTCTACACTCACCATACGAAACACAGCAATGTTAAGCTACTATTTCACACTGGTATTCTGTGAGAATGTGATCCTTCCCCGGTCGAGCCGACCCATTCATGCTACAACTATACTACCAAAATTATTGTTGTTTTGTTTTAATGCTTTTACTATTAATCTTTCAGTTTAGTAATCTGTGTGCTGTCAAATTTAACCATTTATTATAGAGATAAGGTTAAGCAATAGATAAAATATAATGTAATTTTTCTAGGAATATTGTAACCCTATTATTGCTATTACTCCCATTATCCACTTTAAATAAGCCTAAAATGTCTTATGTCAGATTGAAACCATGATTTTCTGAGTAATGCTGTCTGCACCCATAAGCATTAGGCTACTGTTACTTTAAAAAGCAAGAATGAAATCAAAAATTCAAGACAAAAAGATGAGATAACTTATAAGGTGAAGGTTGAATAGATAAAGAGCTGAAATAGGAAATTGATGTAACATTATATGAATGTAACTCATATTATTTTCCAATGGTATAGGGTCATTAAAAACACAAAATTAATTATAAAGCATTTATTATTAATATGAATTGCATTCATAGAGAAATTTATATAGTATATATTTTAACAATAATCATTTAAATATAAGGAATATTATTAGGAATGTTACTTTGCACATGATGAATTATTACTTAGATATCAAATTATTGTGGTACAAGCGTAATTTTAAGCCATTATTAAAAGATTTCATAAGTTTTCTTATTCATTAATTAATAAAATATACTACAACAAGCCTGACTAAAATTTGCCAATACATAATACGCAGGTCAGAGTTAGGAAGGGGCAGGAATGGCTTTGATCTCAGATTTTTAGACTTCTTAGTCTACTTTACAAAATTAACACTCTCTAACAGTATTTCAGTATTGAGGTCTGTTGTACCCATGGGTCTACTCCAGAAATAAATGTTGGTTATAACCACGGTGAAGATCCCATACTCCAATGAATACATAACATACCACTGTTTTGTGATGTCATAACTGACACATCAGTGGCAAATTCAAATCAGACTAGTTGCACAGTCACACATCAGTAATATTACAACAGAGATTCTTATAGATTAAGAATTGAATAGAAAAAGTTATAATTTGTGATTTATTCATCATCAAAGTAATCAACATGCTCCCCATTAGTGAATTTGCCTGCTTGCAATACTTTCATACATTTCTTAGCTGTCATCTCTGGCTTCAACAATCTACCTTGATTTTTGAATGATGTAAACACATCCCTTAGATTGTCATTCACAGCCTCATCCAACACTTGACCAATCATGGCTGTTTCAACAGGTCCTGGTGAGTAATTCAACACCCGAATATTTTTTTTCTCTTCCGCAAGTACCTTGAAATACATTTCCCTAGCTGCTTTACCACTACAATAGTAGGCCATGCCACTCATTGGTTTAATGGCGCAGAGAGAAGTTATATTCACAATTATAATTCGGTCCTCAACAGACTCAAAAATCTTAAGAAATTGTGTGTTTAAAGATATCACCTTAAAAACATTTAAATCATAATATTGTCTGAGATCCTCGGAATCCTCCATTCGTGAAGTTTCAATAGCCAAGTTACCCAGTGAGCCCACATTATGGAAGATGAGGCAAGTAGCAAAATCTGTCACTTTGTAACCATCTAGAGAGTTTTTAAGAACATTATTCATCTCATTTACAGATGCCTTTCCCAAATCAATAGATTTGTATATGACCTTAACATTAGCTGACTGACACAGTGTTGCAGTTTTAGCTAATTCATCATTGTTGCGAGCCAACAACAACATGACAGATTTAGGACCTAAAAGCTTAGAAACTTCAACTGCTATAGCCCTCCCAATGCCCTGAGACGCCCCCGATACAACACAGTATGAAGGTCCAGATAAATCAATGAAACATGAAGAGGCCATTGCTACTTACAAGATTATATTATTATACACCAAGAATTAATCCTGTAGAAGCTTGTCAGATTCAGTGTCACCAATCACAGGGTCTAAGTCACAACCATCCCGCATCAAACGGTCAATGCAATCAGCTCTATAGGCGGCCAAGTTTTCTAGAACTTTGTTCTTAGACCTGACGGCTTTAAGTTTCCTCTCTGAAATGAAATTATATAATACATACATAAATTCTATAGATTATCTCTTTTCAATAGAATACATTCATGATTCTAGATTCTATATAAACGGCATAATTATTTTTTAAATAACAACTATTCTAATTTGCAAATTCTATTCTAATGAACAATAAATAGTAAACACAACACGTACACACCCAATTAAGTGTGATTGCAATATGAAACCCACGAACTCTGATAACCTATAACATTATATATGAAACGATATGCAAAGCAAATAAAAACGTAACAAATCATTTTACCGAGAATAGCGAGGTATTCAGCCGAGTCTGACAGCTTTTGGAATCCGTCAATATCAGCAGAAGTAAAATTATCCTCAAACTCCGATACGACAGACCCACTTTTAACTTCACTGCCCCAAGGATCCATCAAAGTCTGTAGGTACATAATGAATACATAGTGTTGCGAAATTAAATACTAAACTTGTTTTCGATAGTACAAAGTTATTATGGATAATTAAACATTTAACGATTGTAAATATGCATCAATTTTAAAAGAAACGCTAGTTATCTACTTACCTGGTAGTCAAGCCAAAATAACTTTTATGTAGAAAGGTTTATCTTGTAATAAAAATAAAAATAACAGCGGCCTTTTTAAAAAAATGATCACCAATTTACGACTTGAGAATTATAAGAATCAATTTTGGGGTATGTCAGGGTATGTTCCGAAATACAACGCAACGCAGTGTACTGTCCAATGCAAATGACGTATCATTTGACACTTTATTGTACTAGCTTGCCGCCGCCATATTGTGTCGGATATCCGGCCATAATAAAACAATTTTTAATTGTGTGTTTGCCGAATGAAGCTTGCCAGAATTTGTTTCTATTTATTCAAATATCCATTAGGAGGATATAATGATTTTTGGAGCACAAAATGACAAAATAATCAGAGTTTCCACTTACAATTTTGGTTTGTCCCTATTTTTTTTAGGATTTATCCCTAAAATTCCCTAAACGATCTTAAAAATTCCTATTTTTAAGGAGCATATTTTTATTCGAGAAATTATACAATAATTTATTATTTTGAATATTTATTAATAAATCAACAAAAGATCAATCACCAAAAACCAGATCAGACAGAAGATTTAGAAGCTGAATCATTACTTTTGTAATATTTTGCTGCACTTATCATGGCACTGTTGGGTTCTAAAATTGAGCAATTGTTTGCTTGCATTCCGAACTTTGTGTGAAACAAGCCGTTCAGAGTTTCGTTAGAAAGTCTATTTCTTTTATCTGTTTTTACATTTTTTAGAATACTAAATAATCTTTCTACCTCAGTATTTGAAGATGGAACTGCTAGTAAAACTGAAATAACTACTTCAAGATTTTCGTAAATGAAATTACCATGATAATCTTTCATGCTTAGAACCTTATTCCAATAAATGTCAGCTGGCATGTTTTTTAATTCTTCTTCGCTTTCAACTCCAAAATGCTTTAAGTCTATAAGAGCTTGATTTCTCCATTCGTTATCTGCTTTTTGCATGTTGCATTTTGTCGTTAAAAAGTTAAATTTATCAAAAACATCTTTCACTGATTGTTTCTCCAGATTTCTTGCTATTTTTGGATCCACATACTTCAATATGTCGAAAAGTTTCTCATTCAAGTCGAACCGCTTTTGGATTTGCAATACTATTTCCACATAAAATTCACGACAACTAGCATAAAATTTGTTCACTTCTTCTATTGGGGCTTTTGTCTTTAAACCTTCAAGTATCGCATGTGCTTCCATACCAACGTATATATGATCATTATTGAGGTGAATTTCTGTTTTAGTGACGTCAATTTGCTTAAGGCTCTTTAGATCCGAGCTCAGATTCAGGTGCTCCTTTTTGACAAAGTTGCACAAAAAAGTGTTCAACATTTTCCGAACCATCACTGGCAGTATAAATAATTGTGGTGATTTTGTTTGAAAAAATGTATTAAAATCGTTAGTTATAGAGAAGACGTAACTCATGAAGTGTAATAAAGCTTTATTAAATGGGTTGTTAAGACTGTTCAAGATGGAATCATTTGTATTAGAGGGATCCTCAAAAACTGCCCCCGTAAAAAATAATTTCAATGCATCATACTGCTCTAATATCCTGTCGACACAAGCTTGAAGTGACAACCATCTTGTATTTGCTGCAGAAAGTAATTTATGTTGGTCAATTTTTAGAAAATCCTGAAACTGTTTGAGTGCTTCTGTTCGCTTAGGGCTCATATGAAAATATGCAGGTATATTACGGCACAAATCTTCTAAATTTTTAGGTAGTTTACGGGAGGCATATGATGTGGCGAGATGTATTAAATGGCATGAGCACTCTATAACGACCAGATGTGGAATTTCGGTTTTTAGTAAAGCCTGAACTGAATTGTGCTTTCCCATCATTACGTTCGTCGTATCTGATGTAAGTCCGAAGACATGATCAAGAGGTACTTCATGTTTTGAAAAACTTCCTTTTATTGTTTGGAGGATACCTTTTGCCGTTCCATCAATCATATCTATCAAATCAAAAAATCTGTATTCTACTTTTTTTGTCAAACTATTAAAAAATGTTATAATAATAGCCAACTGTTTTTTCACAGACAGATCTGTTGTTTCATCTATTATTATATTAAAATAGCTATTCTTCATGATATCAATCACTTCTTGTTTATATGTCGCTCCTGTGACTTGACGTAAAATATTTGTTGCTTTTTGTTTTCCTAGATGCACGTCATCTAAACATTTCGATTCCGGAAACAAGTTTCGCAACAGCGATACAAAATCATCGACTAAAGAAATTGGTAGATCATGTTTCGCAAGAAAGCCGCACATTTTTAATTCCATTTTTAATACATTAGTAGCGTGCGTCTGATTTTTTGTTCAAAAAAGTTGACATTCTTCCACATTGCGAAATAACAGCCATCTTTTTGGTGTGTTTAGCACTGTTTTTATGTTTAAGTAATTCGGACATTCCACATACAAGATCACAATCGCATATTTTACAGTAAGCTTTTTGTCTCACCTTTATCAGATTTCTTCAGCCAAGTCTTAAAATCAGGATGCTCCAGCCAAGAAGTTTTAAATTTTTGCACGTATTTTCTTTCCTTACTTGCTGACTTTAAAGTCGAAGAGGATGGTGTTTCATTATCTTCTTCCATTTTAAATTACTTACAATTTAATCGAAAAGAAAAATTTTTTTTTTATATTCCAAGGTGCAATTCGGAGTTCAGTATGTAAATGAAACAAAACTAATCAAATCAAGCAAGCCTTGGTAGGTATACATAATATGACTAAGTTCCGACTACATCTAAAACAACGGAACTGATATTATAAATGACAAATTAAAATTGGACGGATTACATTCATTAATAGTACGGGGGATTCCCCTTTCAAAAATAAACCGCGGGCGGTGGCACCATAGAGTTTGTACATACTACAACAGGGTTACCATCATAAGTTTTGATTTTCCCCGAATTTCCCTAAATCCCTGTCTTATTAAAATAATCCCTAGTCATGTACAATTTCACTTAGTTTTCCCTAAAAAAAGGGAAAAATCCCTAAAAGTGGAAACACTGAAAATAATCGCCAACACTTTTCCAAATGGCGTCATATACTGTCCAATGTTTTGGAACGAATCGCCAGTATAGCATCGATTCATGACGTCATTTGCATTGGACAGTACACTGCGTTGTATTTCGGAACATACCCGAAGTCATATTCAATAACAGACTAAACCAGTGCTGCCAGATGCCTTGAAATTTTTTTCTGTATTAGAAACTGCTAAAATCTGTATTAAATCTGTATGCCATTTAAACGTAAAATCTGTATAATCAAATAAACAAAAACAGAATTATTGACCATCATCATCATTGTTTCTTTTAAGGAATGACTGCAAACGTGATAAGGTTTGATTATCGTTATTAAATAAAAATATACACTATTTTTATATAGCAAAATTGAGACAATTAGTTTAAACAAACAACATAATATTAAAACTCAAACATTTGCAACAAACGTTATATATTATTTTTAGTTCATATTTTATATACTGGTGACCTTTTTTTACCGTCTGGAAAAAAAGGGTGTAACGTGTGAACTGAGTAGAAGCCTATCCTATTGTACTGATATATAACAAAAAAATAGAAACAAAAATGTTGAATTAAATAAATTAATTAATTTAAATCTATAGAATTTCAAATTATATCCACCCCACTTTACGAACGGCAATAAAAGAATAAATTTAGTAGTCATATTTGACCTTGTCACTTGGCAGGGTCACAAACAAAATGGCAAGGGGCAAAGTAATTGATCAAAAAAATAAACGTTTAATCCAAAGTTTTTGTTTTAATTTTTTGCAAAATATCAGTTCCATAGGCTTTTACGCCGTTCACATATTATTACACCCTATTTTTTACAGACGGTAAAAAAGGTCATCCACTGTATATATATTTTATAATACACTTATAATGCTGCCATAGTAACCAATTACGCAGTGAAAAAAATAAATGATCTAAAAATTTAATCATGCAATGATGTGTGTAACGCGGTATCTAGTCATATATTTTGCTTTGTTCTGTTTTAAGTTGAATATTATGGTAATCCAATCAACAGACTTAGAAAACTCTGTATCTGTATCTGTATCCAGTGCTAATCTGTATTACATACCGAAAATCTGTATAAATACGGAGAAATCTGTATATATGGCAACACTGGCTAAACAGAGTCATTTACGTCAATAATATTTTTGTGGTAGTATCTGGCAATACTGGAAACCCAGATAAAAAATATGTAGCAAGTTGGTAACAAGCTTTATAAACAACTAGCTTTAATGATACTGCAATACAATTATTAACAAATAAAAAATGATGGACACAGTTGTTTTTACATGGCAAATGGAGATTATCATATTTTTAAGTTTTTAATCAATTTATTATATATAGATACCGGATAAAATGAAAACCAATTATTCGCAGGTAATTTAATAAAAAAACTCTCAATTTCTCTCAAGAGTTTTTGTAAAGCCTTTTAGAGTTCTTTTAAATTTAATACCTATATTTGAATACAAAAGAATTCAAATAGTGCACATCTCACAGAATATCAGCGTAAAATAGCGTAACGCTGCTATATTTCGTATGGTAAACCAAAAACCTAGAAAACCGGAGACCCTTTTTGCTGGATACGAGGCATCCCGCCTTTGTTTTATTAACATAATTATTGCTTACTTTGGTGTTAATTGTGAATTGATCATAGACACCAATTAGGACGGGGTTAGTCTACTCCTAGCTTTTGATATTATTTTTTGATTTATAAATAGGACTATATTAACACCTATTCTGCTCTCCTGTCCGGCGAGCAGTTTGGCGTATGGCTATGGAGGAAGGCGCGGGTCGTGTTGATCCCCAGGGCAAGTCTGAGGAGTTCTCCTTCACGTGGTTGCCGCCTGTTATTTGGTCTGGTGCAATAGGAAACAGACAGAATAGAAACACTCGGAGGATCCTGTTTTTCATTTCTTTTATCCCACCCCCTTCTCCTATCATAACCCAATCCAAGGTGTCAAGCGTACCGTGCCGATGGATGCATGTCTGGAGGGAGTCCAGTCTCAAACGGTGCCTACCCAAGACCAGGGCGATTCGGGTAGTATTTTAGCCCTTCCCTCGGCATGCGGGGCTCTGTCGGGGGTGACCGAGTATTTTCCTCGCTAATCGTGGGAATAGAATGGACGAAAACCGACATTTTGGAAAAGATACTGAGAAATCTCCTTTAATGGAACTAGCTGTAGGTTTGGAAGAGGCTCTTTTAGGCGTGATTTAGACGATACAATTTTCTTGTACATTCAAGTGCAATTATTGAATGCAATAAATTAAGTGCTTTAATTGCCCTTCAAGAATTGTACGCAACTGTTTACACGTGGATACAAGTAAAAAAATTGAACGCAATTATTGAATGCAAGTCTTGACAAAAAATAGTTGCAAATGTCTTCTGTTTAGACCAATACAATAATGTTTAGGAGATTATTGCTTTCAAGTTTTGACTTGTCTAAATAGAGAGTTGTATGTGCGTGTACCATTTATTGGCGGGTTGCTTCAAGTATTGCACGTATTTGCGTTGTCAAATTTTTCATTCAAGTGTTGGAAGGTTTTGTAGAGTCTGTTTATTAAAAAATATGAGTCAAAAAGGTGTTAAAATTTGGTTCTGCTGACTTAATAAAGTTTATTGAGATTTATCGCAATCATGAGTGTTTGTGAGACACTGAAAATGTGAATTACAAGAATCGTGATGCACGTAGTGCTGCACTTGTAGCATTTTCACAAGAATTTGGAGTTGATGGTTTGGGACCTAAGGAAATTACAAACAAAATAAAAAACTTAAGAACGCAGTATCATGCGGAAAGGAAAAAGATAAAAGATTCAATGAGCACTGGTTCCGGTACTGCTGATATTTACAAGTCCAAACTCTCTTGGTATAATTTAATGGATTCTTTTTTAAGGAAAACTTCTGACCACAGAGAAACAACATCAAATATGGGAAGTATGTATTTATGTAAATAAAGTACAGTCAAGTGCATAATATTATAAATGTGAAACTTTTTTTTCATTAAAAATGGCACTGTCTTGCCAAGGTACAGCACCATCATTGTTAAAGTAATGACAATAATTATCATGGATTCTTATAGCTTCCCTTGTACTATTCCTGTTGTTCTGTGATGTTATATTTTCAAAAGCTCCGCCTGAAGCATTTTGTCTCCAAGTACCAAGACGAAGACCACTTCTTTGACATTCTTCGTCTATAAAACCTGGTGGGGTGTAAGACGCAGGTGAAGTTTCCCTAAGCCAGTTGTGTAAAGCACATGATGTTTTCACTATGACATCTACCTTGTCTATACTTGTAGTGACTGGCTTTTCGAAAATTTGAAATCGGGATGTTAAAACTCCGAAAGCATTTTCAACGATTCTCCTACATCTACACAATCTGCAGTTATAGATTTTTCTATAACTTCTTTCTATAAATTCTACTTAAAAGTAGAGAACAAAAAAATCTATAATACACATAGGTCACATACGATTATTTTTCACAAAATCATTTTTATTTTTAATTACTTATCTTCTGTTTGGTAAAAGTACAACTTTTACAAACAAATATTTAGCTATAGCGTTACTTCGAAAATGATGAGACTTTTTGCACACTGTAGTATTGATAAATAAGTATCCAGGTTTTCATTAAGTATAAAATGATAAAAATACAGCTGTAAGTTTTTTTTTAGAAATTTTTGACACCAGACTTTTGGGATTTTTGAAAAAAAATAATTAAACCTAAATATCTCGAAATTGGTCCACATTTGAATAATGCATTTTATGGTTCATTTGATAGGTTATGACCCCAACTATCACGCCTTGGCGGGAATACGTCGAGTTACCAGTAACCCTGTATATTTGATAGGTCTAATACTATTTAAGGTAGGGCTGAGCTGTAAGCTACTACCGGGGTCTATAGGTAGCGGATCATGGTACGGCTTAGAGATATCCTTGCTAGCTGCATTGCAGTCCCCGACCATTCAGCGACAAGGTACTAGGATGCAGTGGTTATTCTTTAGGAAAGAATAGCTTTAAAATGCTGCAATATCCGATGATGGCCTTGTGACCTGGCGTTTCGTGCGGCCAGTAAATAAGCGCTCCTCTGTTATGGGCAGCTGCGTAACAGTATTTTCAGAAGAGGAAGTCTAGTTGGCTGGAACTGTTCTGGAAAAGGAAGCTATTGACGGAGATGGTGTGCATCGGTTCGGCAATAGTACAGCGTGTGGAAGGCAACGGGAAACCACCACATATACTTCCCCAGGAAGATCATTATGGCTGAGAACAATATAAAAATGGCTCTCAGTCCCCGGCAGACCTTAGATGGTCAGAGGGTGCAAAGAATCTCCGGGTCAGCCATGACGATTGCTACGTGGAACGTCAAGAGTATGTACCGCACCTATAAAATGGTGAATATAGGACGGGAAATGCTAAGACTTAAGATAAATATCCTTGATCCAAGGAAAACGAATTGTGGGTCGAAGAAGAATATCTTGGCTGAAAAACCTACGCCAATGGTTTGGAAAGAGCACCCGTTCCTCATTCAGAGCCGCGGCATCAAAGATCCAAGTTGCCTAATGATCGCCGAC